ACACGGAACACGGTAACCTTCCACACAAAATAGTTCCAAACAATTAACAATTACGTCAGTGGCATACATCGTACTCAACAGGCTACCTGCTCTTTATTCACCAGAAAGAGGCTCATCAACCGAGTCTCTTATTTCTCTCCCGAAACAGTGCCTTCTCCCGCTTGGTGTACCTGAGCCTTCTCCGCTGCGTACAATTTCTGTACATAGCTTGTAATGGAGGCTCTCGCTGGCAATACATAGTGGAGTTGTTAGATGCAATGCGAATGATTTCAGCTTGAGTCTGGCTGTGGACAATGTTGACAGGCTTGCATGCAGTCGCCATACATTTAGCTATGTACTTCAGCAAATTTGTTCTTCATCGTGTTATCCATTTTCTTTGCTTTGAAATTATCCATCGCTGTCTGTCTTAGACGAGGGGGCGGAGTACTCACATCAGCTGTGTGCTTGGCCATTAAGTGGTATTTCAGACTTACGTGCTATGATGATAGCTCAGTTTACGACTGCAAAACATACAGGTAACTTTGGTCTTGTCAGTGGAACCATCTGGCAACTTTTTAAAAGTAAACTTTCAATTCATAAACTCTTTAAGTATCCGTTTTTGGTGTCTCGCGCTGCCATGGCTGGCAAAACAGACATGCACGTGGACCTGTGCAGCGCGCTTGTTTTGTTTCCGGTTTATTTATCGAGCAACGTAACATCCGCTGTGACGTGTTGCCACATTAATCTCGTGATAAAAAATTGAATCACATTAAAATTGATTTAAATTAATGGCTGTATATATATATAAGATGCAGAAATTGATATTCAAAAAAAAATTGTAATTTAATTTTGACATTGGTTGTGCTTATCTCAAAAGTCAAAATAAAAAGTCAGGACTGTATTGTGAAAAGAAATCCCAGCAACACAATCAATAAACTGTACACATCCATTTTCTGACTCACGGACCCTCAGTGTACTTGGCCTGTTGTCATAAGTCGTTATCATTGCTCCTTGCAAATGTGACCGATCAAACGATTGATTGCTGCTTTCATCTGGTGGGTGGTGGCTAGTTAACAGGGACTAAACTGCTTATGTTTTACGTGGGCAGGCTGTGCAAACTCTCCTCGCATTTTCATGCTTTCCACTTGATCACTACTTTTTCTCAGGATTCAACAGGTTTCTTGTATTGACTCAGAGATGAAAGTCCTCCGGATTTTCCCGGAATTCCGGGTTTTTCAAATTTTTATGAAAATTTCTCCGGAGAAGTGAGGAAAATTTGCATAAAATTAATCCGGATATTAGTTGACAACATTGAACGAAGACGCGTTTGAGTTCGTTGTATTGCTTTCACGAGCGTAGCCATATTGAGGCACGAACACTAGTAACAGTAAAGAGATTTTTGTTTGTGTAATAACAACAGAAGACATGATGGCGTTTGACTAATGGTTTAGTAGAACGAATGGTAACTCGAAACAACAGTAGCAAGCGTCATTTTGCCTCTTGGGTTATTCCATCTCAACTAGAACGTGGGGGATAGTCCCCAAACAATTTTCGTCTCTTTATAAACACACATGCTAAACCCCAGTGGAACGAATAAAAGACGCCGTCAACAAGACAGTTGTAGTAAAAAATATATTTGGCCAAAAAGGGAAAAACACAGATTGGCAGAAAATCGTGTCCGTCCGACTTCGAGTGTCGTCTCGGCTAACTTAGCTTAGCTGTTGTCGTGTGTGACGTCATT